CCCTTGACCGGTCGACCATCAGGTGCTCTCCATCCTTAATTTGCTCCATGACAATAAATATACTGCCTTCATTTCGTGAGAGGCATACAGAAAGCAGCAGAGAACAGACAGCGAAATCAAGATGAATGTGGAATCCAGAGCATCAGATAGTAATTGGATTCCAGGCCTAGAGTGCGAATTCTACCAACTATGCGTCTCGTCTTCCCTCGCTGAACTGACAGGGCTCTTTCTCATGCTATCCCGCCCCCTCGTTGTTCCAAACCTTGCCCCTAATTTCTCTGCGTCTCTTCCTCTTCCCCCTACTCTCCTCTAGTCCGCGCCGTCCTCAATACACCCTGCGCGGCTTGTACAGGGTGTCCTAATAAAAAACACCTCGCTCTAACTAGACGCGGAAGTATCAGATGGGATTGATAGTTGCACCATTCGAAAGCCCTTGACGGCGAGTTTGCAAAAATCTTCAAAAGCATGTTTTTATTTGCAGGCGCCACGTTACAAGGCATTTCAAAACATTAAGCAACGGCTCTGCATGTAAAATGCCGAATTCCATCCGAATTCGAAAACTCCGAATTAAAATTATTTTGACAATGGGGAAAATGTCATGTTTTCTATTGACACCATAATTTGCATTCGGTGGATGAATTCGGGATTTTGGAATTCGGGCTTATGAGCATTCCGGGTCTTAGAATTCGGAATTTTATTCGGAATTTTTGCAATAAGAAAATACTCTTGATTGTGCTCCTAAAGTAGCTATCCCACCTCAGAGCCGCTCCTCGACCGACTCTTCGATCTCCGGTCCTCGTGCCTCCACTGGCTCGCACCGATATCAACATTCCGCTCTTGCTGATCGACTTTCACCCGGGTTCCGATTGTCCCGGTTACGGTATTCGCATGATCGTTCTGAGGCGCAAATCGGTATCTGGGCTCTTCCTGTCCGCTTCTCTCGAGATTCGGTTGACTCCGGAAGCTGGCGACATGGCTGGCTACCGTAGGCCATCCACCATGGGCGGTATATCTTCGAAAACTGGTTCCGAAAGTTTTCACGAACTTACTTATTATGAGTGTAGACGTACACCGGGTTCGGGTCCGCCCGGAAATGGTCGGAGGTGATTTGGACAATCCTGGAAAATTTCAGATCGATAAAGTTTGTGAGTAGCTACGACAAAATTCATTTAACGCTATCGGAATTTGGTGTAGTGTGTAGTCGTTTTTCGCAAAGCAAGCAATCGATTACGCACTTATTCTGGTGCCCTCGCAGCTGTTCTTGCCAAACATTTTTCCGCATCCAGCTCCGGTCGGCCCAGTAGGGCTTCGATCGGTCGGCTCCCTAAAAAATTTGAGTTAATCTTAATACAAAATTTTTGTGCCAAAAAATGTTTCAAAAGCATCGTAACGCTGAAAATATTAAAACATACGGTCCTGGGCGCAACGTAAGGGTCACGAATGTTTTTCCAGCTTTGATGACGGCTCAGCGATTTTTCGTACCTAAATGGAGCATTAAAGAGACCTACAAGTTCTGGAAGTTTTCTTTTCTAAAGAGTTTGTTGGTTTTCTCCGAATTTTCGATAGGTGTTGTAGTAAAAATTACCAGTAGGGTACCGTCTTGTACTGCTTGATCTTGAGGGCAGACCCGTCTAGCAGCGTCGGGATGCTGACAACTTTTCCGGATTCCCCAACATTTCGCATAGCGGACTCATCGATAAAAGATCCATTCATCGACCGTGGCTCTGATTTTGAGCGTTTTGAAGGGGTGGAGCTCTAAAAAAAGATAGACGGTATGTATGCCTTCACATTTCGATAAAGAATTTCTACCAGCTCACCTTTGTCCTCCTAGCTTCTACAGATCCCTCGCCGTGGTATTCCTGGGCGTTTGATGGATCGTGAGGGTAGCTGTTGGAAGGGAGTCGGGGCTGCATCTCCAGGTAGCCATCGTAATGTTCTTGGTGCTCGTACTAAACCAAATACTTGGATATCCGCATAAAAAATATTGTTTTTAAGCCTGCTACGTTACGGATTTTAAATAAGTTAAATATACAGAACGCCCTGACACCAATCATCAACCTTTATGCGGAGTGCATTAATTACGTGAAAATTATATTTCAAAAAATCGCTTGTTTTAAATTGTTTTTCGTAATTTTTCGAACCTTAAAAACATTAAAAAACATGGAAAAGATAGTTTTAATGCTAAAAATGTACCTCATGCTCAAACTCCGGTTGCGTCACCTCCAGCTCGGCTGTGAAGACCGGGGCGCCGAATTTCTGGTATTTTTCGGAGGGCTAGAAGAGCCATGCATCACAATTCAATAAATTAACAGACGATAGCATGAGCTGCATGATATCCGGTTCTCCTGCTCTCTCCAGAAATCTCGAGCTGCAGTGGCCGAGCGTGTGGGTACCTCTCCTGGCCGGAGCTTGTGAAGTGCTGCTGAAATTCGATGCTTTTCACATACATAAAGTGGATAGATACCTGGTTCGAAGATGTATTTTTCGTCTTCAAATTTCGTGGCTTCAAAATGACGCTCGAATTCTGGAGATCGGTTGGGCGACGGGGAGCCGGAGCTGTGATTTCGGGGTGATTGTAGTGCTAAAAGTAGCGATGGATAGCTTAAAAACGATATATGGCTAACCTGGTACTCACGATGGTAAAAATTTGAGCCCAGCGATTGATTGTGTTCATTTTCCTAAAATTACTTAAAAACAAAATTTTTATAACGTACGATTTCATGTGCAAATCTGCCATCCGTCCACTCGTTGAACTGGCCTTTCACGGTGCTAGGCATCTTGGCCATGTTGTGGGGGATGAAGTCCTGAAAAAAACAGCCATAGGATGACAAAAATCGAACTATCTCTCACTTCCTCTGGCTCTCTCATTCACTTTCGCTCTCTCTCTCTCTCTCTCTCTCTCTCTCGATTTCGTTCTCTCGCTCTCTTTCTCTCTCTCACTATCCCTGACTCCATTCCTGTCTCTCTCGTTTTCCTTAGCTCGCACTCAATCGCTTACGCTCTCTCTCTGGCCTCTCGCTCTCTCTCTCTCTCGCTCTCTCTCTCTCCCTCTCTGACTTACCACATCCCTTCTAAAGTTCTCAAAGTCGGTCTCGGTGTGGACGTTTGGGGAACTTTTGGAATAGTGCTGTCCTGGAGCGGCAAAAACGGTACGTCCGGCTTGGAAAGCCTCGAAGGAGGGGTTTCTAAAAATAATAGGTCTAAAACCTCTAGAAGCTATATCCAGCAGCTTATTGAAAAATTGAGGAATTCCGATAAACCTATGGTCGAAATCTGATCCGAAAACCTCGTACACCACTTAAAACAGCCAAATTGGGTGCCCTACTCCAAATAGTAACGCAGCTGTAAAATTCCCATTATTTTTCAAGGCTAAAAACTGCCTCATCAGGCACGTGAAACGCATATCCAAGCTTTCTTCAAACCCGTTTTTTAAGGAGCCAAGAACGAACCATTGACAACTCGAAAACCACATGCACATGCCATTCCAAACCCTCACTATTCCATTTTCGATTGCGAACTCCTCTGTGACACTAACAAATTTCCGTTTTCGCTCCGCGCAAAACGCACAAAATGCTTGTGTGAATGATGATGCCGCTTCACCGTGTTATTCCGCCCCATTCCAGTCAACGGTCACGCGTAACGTAAGGGACACAACTTCAGCAAAATATACTTTATTATTACTGTTTATTAGCCGGTCAATGGAGAGACAGATATACGAAAAAGTCGGGCAAAAACGACAAATAGGTGAAGGCAGTGATTGGCAAGCTTCGTTCTTTGGCTTATGCTTAGGCTTAGGCTTGGAGGCTTTGGTTTACCTATACGCTTAGATTCTGAGGCTTAGCTTTCGAACTTCTAGGTTTAGCTTTTAAGGAACTAGATTGGAGGCTTCGGCTCGGGCTTGGGCTTGGGTTTCGCCTTGGGCTTATGCTTAGGCTTGACTTTGCGTTGAGGCTTGGAGCTTGGCTTAAGCTTAGACATGATAAAACCTTATAATCGGTAAAAACTCGGATGAGAAAGCTTCTAGTTGGGATTTCGAACTCGTAAATAAACTATGCAAATATCCTGGCTACTACTGCATACTAATATTGCTAGCATATTTTTAATTCCAATAAGATGTTGCTGGTCGTCAGTAATGGTGTCGGTGACAATCTTCTTCTTGTAGTACTTGAAAGTGGTGATATTGCCTGGAAAAATGGATTCGGACCACATATCAAAACCATTAAATATATATATATAATTTACGTATTTAAGCCTTCGTATTTATGTCGTTTTCAACAACCTTTCTTTTTCTGTTTCATTGAACGATAATCCACAGAAATATACTATGTTCTCCTAGCCCCTTTATACCCAAAAACGTTAAAAAATGTACAGGGGCTAATGAATGAGCCAGAATCGAGTCTCTGGGCCATTGGTAAGAACCTGGCGTTTATTTCCCTTCTCTGGTAACCGATGACCACATTGGGATGGCCTTCGGACAACAATGGAAGGTGCGGCGGGGGGTCGAACTCGCGACCCTCGGCCTGTGGCGCGCGCCCCAGAACCAATATACCACCGGGGTCAGTCCCGGAGCAGCGCTCCCAGGGCCCAAAGAGAAAAAGGGAGCGCTGCCTTTTGAGTGGCCTTGTGCTATTTTTCGGTTTACCCTAAATTTCCGATGATTTATAAACTAGGAATAATTTCATTAAAAAATATTAGAGATTAAGTTATTGGAAAATATGGTATAATTTATTGTGTAATTGATTAAATAAAATTTCTACAATCAATTCCATGTTTAACTAGGTCATAACTATTTATAGAAACAATTCGCTGTCATTAAATTTTTCGGAAACCTTTTGAAACGATGACCCAAGCCTTTTCCATAGCTTCCTATTTCTGTTTAGGCTATGTTTAGGTTTTCGGGTATTAATTGTCAAAATTTAAAATGATTATCTTCAAAGAGAAGACGGATGAATTGATTTACCTGGACCCAATACGCCCGCTCCAGCTTCGTTCTCGACGACGCGGCGCTCCTCTTCCTGAAAAATCGAATTAAGCTAATTTTGAGGGTTTTAACTATTTGCTTTAGCTATCAAAAACTATATTACTTCACACTTCAACGAGGCCATTTCTCTTTGGGGCCTGGATCAGCGGTAGTCTGAAGATCGCGCTTGTAGGAAATTTGATGGCCTTGCTGGTATGTCTGTGCACCCTAGATTTACCATGTGAATCCTTCTCAGTTCTCTCTCGCTCTCGCTCTCTCTCCGCTCTCGCTCTCTCTATCTATATCTCTCTCCCTTGCCTGCGTATTTGCTTGTGTATTCGCGACGGTTCCAAGCGGTAGCGTCTCCGACATTTCCAACTTCCTGTCTACTGGCGGGCCCGATACCTAAATCTAGGCTTAAAAACGAGGAGAAGTGCTTCATTACCGTAGTGACGGTCGTCACTGGTGCCAGAGGAGTCGTTCTGTAAGGAAAAACCAGCATTAAACAAATATAGAATTTATCTTACTGCCGATGCTCATGACGGGTCTCGGTTTTCTTGTTGTACTGCTGCTGGGCCTGGTATTGCTGAACAACCGGCTGGGCTGGGCGAGTTTCTTCGCGGGTCGTTTTCTATAAAAGAATGCAAAAATACAAGGACTTAAGGTATCTAATGGGTATCTATAGCTGCAATATAAAATTGAATTAAAACTATTAGGTTGAACCGAAAGTAATTGTAATCGATCTTCGGGACAAGATTTATAATATTTCTACCAAGTAGGCGACTGGCTTTTAACTTACTTTGTTTGGTCTAGCAAGATACTATATACCCTAGAAATATCAAGCGGATCCTAGCCCTAACACTCTTTTTATAACTGATTTTGCCCGCGGTACAGGGCCACCGAGGCGCCGACATTCGGGATCCCTCTTTGTTTCCAGCCTTATAAAACTTACCGATGCCGTAATCCCGCTATCGTAACTGGCAATGTATAATGCCAGTGTAAGATCTTTCTAGCTATGGTGTCCAATTCAGCAAATGGATTTACAGTCGGCCGATATTCTCCTTTGTTTGGATAAAAATCCGACTTTTCGATGAGCTTGACTAAAAGGCTCTCTTAAATTTATTGAGGATAATGAAATTAAATCTGATCCATTTATCATAAGGAGTTTTTATTGACAAACATACTACCAATCCCAGCTATCTTCCCACCCTTCTTTATCTGTACAAATTTTGCAAATTAGTGAGGCACCAAGTGACCGACCCGGAGATCGGTTGGCGACACACAATTTGCATTGCCATTCTTTCACCTTTGCCAACCAAGGTTTTTTTATAGTCAAGTATTATTTGGTCATCCACAGTAGATACTGTGTTACAATTACCAATATTTTAAACCCATTCTTTGGCGGAGAAAAAAATAAAACCAAAATGTGCTCAAAATTACGATGCATTTCTCAATTCCAGACGGAGACAGGACATTTGTTATCTACGGATATAAAACAGCTTTAATTAAGCTTCATTTTGATGGAGTCCACTCAAAAAGTTATCCACCAAACTCGGAGAAAACGGCCGTCAAAGGAATATGTCGATTCACAGCCCAAAAACCCAGATTGACATCTTTTTAAACTGACCTGGGAAAAAATAATGCAGCTAGCTATTAAAATTCTCTTTAATGCACCGCATAGCCCAAATTTTTCTCTATCTACTATCACGTATTCAAGTCACTAGGGTCGGAACGGCCGGCGATATCCTTCACGGAAACCAAAAACCCGACATCCGGATTGCGAGCACCCTTTTCCAGCTAATTAAAAAATTTGTGGCAGTCCCGAGTTAAAAATAAAACTGAAATTGGACAAGGCTTGACCCTCAATCATAGCAAAAAATTAGAATGAACGAATGGTGGCTTTCGTAAAATTTTTACAATCGAAAAATTACAATTACTTTCGGTTCAACCTAATAGTAAACTCGATATTGATTGATTTTAACGTTTATCAATTTGTTGATGTTTTTTGGGCGTTTACCAAGTTTTAGGTATGATCCCAGGGCTAACGAACTCCTATACCGCTTCATATTCTTCAATGATGGCGTAACGCCATCTTGGAAAGTTACTAAAAAACCTATCACCTCCTCGCGACGCTGCTGTTGCTGCCACTGCTGCTGGTAGACCTGAGGAGGTTGTGGAGAGGGCTGATGAGTTTCGGTGGTCTTCTAAAGCCGTTTTTGGCGTTTGCGATTGTTTTGTCCATTTTTTTTTGTAAATTACGCTCTTTAACCCTTCATTTTTATACGGATAACAAGAGACTGTTTGGCCTACCTCCTCACGCCTCGACTGTTGCTGTTGCCATTGCTGCTGGAAGGCAACTGGTTGTGGGGATGGCTGATGGGTTTCGGTGGTTTTCTAAAAGATGCTTATTTAAGGTAACAAAACTGGCAAATTAGGCCTAGAAAAACAATAAATTACCTCCTCACGCCGCGTCTCCCGCTGCTGCTGCCAGTACTGCTGCTGTTGTTGAACTGGCTGGACGACTGGTTGCGGCTTGTGAGTTTCGGTGGTTTTCTAGAAGAATTGGTTAGATATCTCTCTCTCTATCACTCTTTCGCTCTCTCTCTATCTCTCTCTATCTCTCTCTCTCTTTCTCTCGCTCTCCCTACCTCCTCCCTTTGGGTCTGCTGTTGCTGCTGCCAGTACTGTTGTTGTTGAACTGGCGGTGGTTGAGGCGAGCGGGTGGTTTCGGTGCGAGTCTAAATAATATATTTTTAGAGTATTCTATAGCAAAAGCTTTGAAGTTATCGCGAAAGGTATCCATAGTTAAGGTAATAAGGTACCTCTTCCCTCCTGCTATGACGCTGCTCATGCCATTGCTGCTGCACCTGTTGTGGTCGGACGGTTTCTTCGCGGGTGGTTTTCTAGAAAAAAAGCTCGATCCAGATTCCCAAAGGGTCTCTGCTAGTCCGCCCTACCTCAATTGTCTGTAGCGACTACACTTTCAAAGCCATCTCAATAACGAACTTACCGTTTCTTTCCTCTGCTGTTGCTGCTGCTCCCACCACTGGGCCGGGCGGACGTGCTCGTTGCGGGATTTTTCCTAGAAAGTAGCCATGTTCAAGCTCGCTTTAACAAGGCGGTTTTGAAGTTTTTGGTTAGTCCGGGAAAATTTAAGAAGTAGTGTGTTAGAATCTAAGGTCCAAAAATCCCAACCTCACGACGCTCCTGGTAGTACTGTTGCTGTTGTTGCTGCTGCTGATAATTTTGGGCTGGAGCGGCTTGCGTGGAGTCCTGAATTTGCAAAAATCTGGGGTTTTACCAGATATTGGATACCTTGACGGTATGCGTAGTGGTCGACTGGGTCTGTAGAATAGCTTGGGGAGGCGGGGTCTTGGCGGGTTGCTAAAATCAAGTTTGTTAAGTACGCTATAAATAATGTAATGTATCCATAGTTTATTAGACCGGGTCGTTAAGCATTAGTAGAGATCAAAATCAAGTTGTACTTGCGAATAAAAACGCATAAACATTAACCTGGGAGTACGAGTAGGTAGTGGTCCGAGTCACTGGAGCATTCTGAGTCTGTAAAAATATGACTGCGTAAGCGGGAGTCTTTTGCAGACGACAAATCTTTAGCTAATTAAACCCTTAAAACTACCTTTGTAGTAGTCGTAGTTGTCCTCCTGGTCTCACGCTGTTCTTGATGCTGCTGGTGCTGTTGTTGCTGCTGGCTGTAGGAAGAAAAATTCTGATGCTGCATCTGTGGTTGCTGGTTTTGGGTGGTCTAAATTCATAGAAACGTAACTGCAGTTTCCGATATCACACTAGAAACCACAGCAAAAACACTTGAAAAAGACGTCGAAACAAAGTTAGCACGCCAAAACAACAGAAATCGAGTTTAATTCAAAAACTGGGTTTCCAAACCTGATTCTGATAAAGTATAATTTATTCAACACCGGGTTGTTTTATATAAAGCGTCTACCGTATCTTTTCATTTTGATAAAGTGACAAGCGGGTTCATATACCTTAAACTCCAAAACAACGAAAAGCAGTGAGAAGAAAAGCGTAAGCTACTCAAGTAATCGAAAATGCAAAATTTGAACTAATCTTTGAAAAATAGATAGCATATTCCGAAATCACGTCCAGCAATCCAGGGTCCCAACGAGATCTAGCAGTTTTTGGCGGTGCGGGTCCTGGTCGTACAAATTTTCGCGGCTGTACGCCCGAAAGGCGCTGCGGTGGCCGAAGGGCGCCTGCAATGCAGGCTTTAGTTCAGGTACGACGACGAGTTTACGAATTCTGATATTGTTGGACGTGATCTCAGAGCCGTATAATAAGGTATCACTATAGAAAAGTATCAAATTATTTTTTGCTTTACCATACCTTTCTGCCGATTTTGATCGCCTAAACTACGATTTGCCTATCTTCAATACAGTTTTGGGTTACCACGCCAACCAACAGGCCTTGTTAGTGAAAGATCAAAGATCATGAAGTACACTTACCGTCGACGTAGAGTTGGTGGTATACTGCTGTTGATAATGTCCGCCACCATGCCCACCCGGTCCGTACTTGTTACGGCGTTCCTGAAGGAATAGCTGAATTTAGAGAGAGAGACAGAGAGAGAGAGAGAGAGTCCCCGCCAACCTCCAAATAGTCGAACTGCGTCTTGTTGAAGCCAGTATTTGCAACATAGTCGGCATTAGTCGAACCATCAGCGTTATGGGAGTAGTTGTAGTTTGTAGCCGATTGCTGGGTCTGGGAGGAGATAGAGGTATTTTTTCGGTATTTGCTATCACCTGTACCGGTCCAGTAGAGCTCTGGGAGTAGGTGTAATGGGTGTTCACCGGCTGACTCTGATGGTAGGTGTACGAGGAGTTGGAGCCGAGCTGAAAAGAGATCAAGTACTACGTTTTAATTCCGTATAAATTTTAGATTTTTGGAAATAAAATGCCCCACATTTTAAAGGTTTAGGGCGTAAGAAGGAGTGCCGCGTTTCCCGACGTCGCCTACGAGGCGCTCCTTGGTACACAGCTTTCTATGCACACTGTACACGTCTTATACAAAGTTTAGTTTTCATTTTTAAGATATTTGCGGGTATTCTTTTAAGGTTGATACATCATCTATCTCATTTCTATTTTTCACGAACCTGCCCAGCAGCTCCCTGCCAAACGTTTTGCTTCTGCTGGGCGTTGGAGGCCCAGTGTGGCGGGGCATCAGCTGGCACTTTAGCCGAGGCGGGGAGGGCTAGCCTGAATTAGCAAAAGTTAATTATTCAAACTTGGGAACATACCTCGCATCGTTATCCCAGGCCTTGTGCTCCCAGGCGCCACGGCGCTCATTGACCGTACGAGTCCAATTCGGCTCGCGAGTCCAGGTCTAAAAACGTGATCAGGACGTTTTGTTGGGCTTCCTTGCCCCCTTTAAAGGTACAGGAAGGGAAGGCCATGGATTTTCTTGGTTACGGGCTCCGATGGAATTTGTCACAACGCGATATGCAAAACCGCTCAAAAACTCAAGCTTTTCCAGCGATGTGGAAGGGCTCGTGATGCGTTACGCAATGAAAAGTCTATGGCGCGCGTTAAATGTGCGTTGCGTGTCGCGGCTCGGTGAGAAAACCTAATTGAGCCGACGCAAAAAGCTTTTAGCCATGCCTTGCCGCCACCTTCAGCGATATGTAGAACTATTGGGTAATTTAGCGTGGATAGAGATTTCGTGCGTTAAAGGGAAATTACATTGCGTAACATAATGCTTGAATAAAAGCTCTAACTACGATCCATTGAGGGAAAAACTTTTAGCTGGATTAAAGTTATGGTGAACAGATTTTTCGTGCGGTTTCGGGATTTTAACATTACGTATCTGGTAAAGCACTACGAGCTACTGGCGAAACAAAACTTTTATCTATAACGTGCCATTGGCCTGGTGTGCAGCGGGTCCTCTCGGGTCTCCCAAGCAAAGTGCTTTTCCAAGCTCTTCTCCCGCCATGTTGGTGTCGTTTCGCGTTTCCTCGGAACCAGGGCCTCATCGTTAAGCAGGGTATGAACGTTGACCTGAAGAAGGGCATGGGGGGTGCGACATGCGGGAAAGCGGGAGTGGTAAAAAGGGGATAGCTTGCAAAAAATCAGGCTCTATGATAGGTATTGCAGCTTAATAAAGCTCTAGAGTAGCTAGATAGTTTACTACTCCTTTGAAGTATCTAAATTTCATCATCGTAAAGTACCGTCTTGTCGGGTCCATAGTAGGGATGCGGGTCGACGTTTTCACGGTTGCGCCAAACGTCACGCTGCTCGGGTGGGGCGCTGGACCTGGAAGCAAGCTGGGTTTATGGAGCCCACGAGCGAGAGAGAGAGTGAAGAGAGAAGAGCGAGTGAGAGAAAGAGAGAGAGAGCTAACCTCGGAGCAGAAGCACTCCTCGACCTCCTCGTGTAATTGGTACAGAACGTATTATCGTTGTGCGTCTCGGCCCTGCGGCGGGTCGTATGGTGATCCCTCTTGAAGCCTTCGGTCGGGCGGAAGGCCGTCCCCATCGAGTCATCTTGCTAAAGAAGATACACTTATTTCTACGTTTTGAATTCGTATTCGTGCTACGAAATTAAGGAACCCGAGATTGATTCAAGTCCAATACAACTTACGCGACCATCTCTTCTATCGCGTCCCGCCCTCATGTTGGACACGGTGTCACCGACCAGCAGATGCGGATCAACCTGAAAGCATTATAATTGTTATGGTCACGATCAATTAGGTGTTTCTTGGGATTAGGCCTAGGCTTAGGTTTAGGTTTATTCATAGGCTTCAGCTTAGGCTTAGGCATAGGCTTCACTTCAAGCTTAGGCATAGGCTGATGCTTATGCTTAGCTTAAACTTAGCTTAGGCTTTCGCTTGGGCTTAAGTATTGGCTTCAGCATCTTCACAGGCTTACCGAGTCCACATTCGGAGCGAGCGCAACGTTAACCGGTGCATGCGGATCAGCGGTATACTTCGACCTAAAAGCTCGGCGTTTAAAGGGACTGGCAAGGCAAAATCAATTTCTTTTGATAATAAATTCAGTACAGAAGCGACTCACCTCCTCCTTGGTGGATCGGGTCCATGCCCATGGTACGGTCCAGGAGCCACATATCCGGTTCCGAAATCGGTACCACCAATCTCGTAACCGCGGGGAACTCGCTTTTCCTCCGTCTGGCGTTTGGTGTACACGTAGTCATAAGGGCCAGGCGGATCGAAGTGGATGTCCCCGCGGAAGTCCATACCGCCGCACTCGTAGCCTTTCGGACTGAAAAAGGGGGTAATAGTCGGGTGCTAATGACATACGAAAACACACTTGGTGACCAGTAACACCTCGTAACTTACGTCTTCTCCCTATAACCATGGTGCTGATGGTTTGGCTGGTTGAACTCGGCGTGCGCCCAATAAGGAGTGCCACCTCCCTTGTTATCGTGCACATAGGTTTTAGTCTTTTCCTAGAAACGAGAGAATTCATAGTCTTTTTAAGGTTTGCTAAATGGCTAAAACTTCGTCTCTCTCTCTCGCTCTTTCTCTCTCTCACTCTCTCTCCTTCTCTCCCTCTTTCTCTCTCTATATCTCTCACTCTCACTCTCTCTTTCTCTCCCTTTTTCTCTCTCTCTTGACGCCACTCACCTGGAACTCTCTCCAGTCTGGATCCCTGGCCGGGGTCTTGCTGCCACCTCGCTGATCACGTTGATACTCATACGACCAGGTCTCACCAGGCTCGGATTGGGCGCTAAGAATTGATAATGCGGCAAATTCAAGTTTTAAATGTCATTAAAAAGATTCTTAACGCCGTAGTTTGGAAAATTTAAGGACTAACCGATATCCAGGCGTCATCGACCTGGCCCTCTCGCTCTTCTCACGAGCAAATCCGGCCCATGCGGGTTCCTGGAAAACTCCGATGTTTAATTATAATATTAATCGGTTAAATACCGTTTCATACATTACTAAGATTATATTACTTACCGGCGACTTGAACTCCCTTGGCTGCTCGATGGCATTGATCTGTTCTTCCAGACTTGGGCCATAGCCGTTGCGTTCTCCTTCCTGAAAATATGGTCATGTTCTCTAAGTTATCTCTATCTCTTTCGCTCGCTCTCCCTCCCTCCCTCTCTCTCTCTTTCGTTCTCTCTCTCACACTCTCTCTCTCTCTTTACCCACACCAGTAGAAGGTTCACTTACCTGAATATACCTCAAAGTCGCGCTTCGATTCGGGTCAAAGTGTTTCTCAGGAAGCGGAGCCGGCAGCGGGGCTGCTCCGGCTCCGATTTGCTGGACGTACTGCTCCTGGGCCGATTCTCTGAAAGAAGCGCATGTGGTAAGCGGCTTAGCTCGTGCCCTCTTAGGTTTTTATTTAAAAGATTCTTTTCAGAACCTTCATAAATAATATTTTGATGGGCACATTTGAAGTGATGAGTCATGTTTTTCATGAACTTTGCCAAATTCGTCAAACCTTACATGTCGTTTCAAACCACTTTTCCGACCCAGAAAAACTGTAAACAAAACTCAGTGGGCTGCAACAAATCCGCGGTTATTCACAGAAAGAGAGAGGGCGAGAGAGAGAGAGAGAGGAGAGAGAGAGAGAGAGAGAGAGAGAGAGAGAGAGATCCCATGCACCGGCCGGGGTCACCTGGTGACTGGCCGAGCATGGGCCGAGCGCTAATCCCCGGCTAACAAGTCCACCCCGCTGATATTTACGAGTTGGCCGAACTTGAGCACGGCACGGAAAAGCCGAAAAAATGTGGCTGTGGCCAGTTTTATTCGGGTCGCCTGGGTTGTGGCGGTTTCGGGCTTGAGTTTTTCCTCATTTTGCCCACTTCCGCTTTCCAAAAACAAATTTTTACATATCTGGTAGTTCCAGGTTGAAAGTTCAACTTGAAACTCGTAGCTCTCAATATTACGTTGCTGCGCATTATCGTAAAAGAGCTATAAGATTTGCCCCATCGATCATCGAGGTGAGGCTCCGGCTTCTTGCGCCCGGGTTCAAGCTCAGGCTTAGGCTTTATGCATAGGCGTTGGCCCAGGCTTTGGCTTAGATTGTAGGATTAGCTTGGTCTAGGCGTTGTCCTTTGGATCTGCTTACAATTATGCTTATATGCTTAGGCCTGGGCTTAGGCTGAGGTTTAGGTCTTAATCACGCAAGATGAAGCTTCGGTTCAGGCTGGGCCTAGGTTTGGGCTTAGGCTTTGGCTTGAGCTTAGGCTTAGGATTCGATTTTTGGCATTTGCTTAGGAAAAGGCTCAGGCATTGCCTTAGATATTAGCTTGAGGCTGAGCTTAGGCTTTGGCTTAGGTTTGCGTTGGGCTTTGGTGTGGGTCCAGGCTTGAGGCTGGTTTTGCCTGGAGCGTTATGGTAATTCGTTAGACGACAGAAATCATCATTTCAAAATTTAAGCTATTTTTAGCACATCTTTCTCTAGGGAGATCGCTTAACCCTTACTGTCCGAAGCCCAGAGAGTTCAATTGGCTTTGCAAGCCCGAAAAATCTATTTGCCCATTCGAAATCGTTGACCTCTTTTTCACTATCTCTGTGTGGCGTGTGCCAATTTTTGGCACCTTGGCGTGAATTTCCAGAAAAAGCCCACAGTCGCCTCTGCTGGCCACGCGGGCCAACCATTTTGGAGAACAAACAGATCGGGGCGTGATATAAAGGTGGGAGAGGCGAGAAGTCACCAAATTATACCCAGGGACCCGGCAGTGTGTTTTGGTAGAAAGGTGGGTATATTTTTTTTGCTTTAAAACCTTCATTGAAGTTTGTTGAAGTGGTTTATAACCTTCCTATAAGCACTACTAATTAAAAATAGGATCTTATCTTCGTAAAAGCCAGATTTAATTTAATTCAGTAACCTTATACTTCATAAATTCTACTGAAAACCTTTTATCTTGAATTATAAATCAGCTTGGTTCGGCTTTAGGCATTAGAAACGGATCTAAGACTTTCATTAATGCTTGTATTTTAGCTATTAGCTCAGAATTTAGCTTACAAGCAACTGTAAGTTTTTCTTACATTTTTCTTGATCCCCGAATTCCAAAAATTTGGGCTGTTTTGTCAGTTGGCGCTCGAAATTCAGAACGACTCTTTAATCAGTGCACTAATGATTCCTACGCAGCTTCTTACCTTCATCAACTAAGATTTTTTGGTTTTAGATGACCTCCAAAATCATCCTCCTTATCGCCTGCGTACTTGCTGCTGGATTGGTCCAGGAAACCTCGGCTCAATGGTACGTTTTTTTAATTTAATAACTTACTTTTTCCCTAATAGTTGGTCTTCAACCATTTTTCAAAATTAGATGTACTACATAACTTACTAAAACATGGCATGTGACTGCTGATAAAGTGTACTCTGACGTTTAAAAAATAGGGCAAAAATGCGCAGAAATCCCTGAGGTATCAAAATTTTAAGGTACGGCGGTTACGGCTGGCCGTCGTATGGCTATGAGTATGGAGCGTATCCGTATGGCGGCTACGGTGGATATGGATATGGAGGATACCCGTACTATGGTGGATACGGAGGCTATGGCGGATACTACGGATACGGAAAGCGCGAGGCTGGATTTGGGGTGTGGTTTTAGCCCCTACTCTTTAGTTTTTAGCAGCTTTAGCTTGATTTGGATTCAATGAAAGTTTCGATACTTCTATTTTAAGGCTTCCAGTAAAAATGTGTGTTTTAGCCCCAACAACCCCAGCAACAGCAGCAGCAACAAGTCCAAAACCCGCGGTTCCAGCCCCAGCTCGCCGCCCAGGCCTCGCAAGCACCAAGCAATGGAAACAGCAATAACTAAGCTTGCATTTAATTTGTGTTGAAAATTCACTTCCTACATTTTTCTTTTCAACTGTACAAAAAGCTCCACCATTGCCCGAACACGTGCTCAGCGGAATAATAAACTACTTAAGACTAACTGAATGCTTGTTCAATACACTAATACAGACTACAGCAAAGTATTGCTTAAATGTGTACTTGCCAGGGCTGTAAGAATACACAGGAAGGGCGAAAAATTGCAGAAATTAAATCTACGTATCTAGACGTTATCATGCAAAAATCATATGTCCGGCCAAACCCTCTTGTCTGGTTACTCGAAAAATTGGCAAAAATCGATCAATTTCCTTTGAAATTGCCCAGTTTGGGAATTTTCGTATCTTCCACCTCCCTGCCCCTTTAATACACCAGCTCTAGTCATACTTCAGAATTTGTGGCCGTTTACCCGTCATTAATGCACCATTCCAGGTCATCAAAAATGTTTCAACCCATCTGACCTTTGGGAAAAATCCCCCATTGCCCCAGGTTGTAATGCCCAAGTGATTAGGCGTTCGATTTTTCCCGGGCTCTCGACAGGGTGCTGTGGCAAGTTTCTGCCCCCTAATTTCTCGGGCTCAAGCTCCCCGAGTTTTTTGAGGCCCAGCCTTTCCAGCTCGAGGGCCCACCCGGAGGGGGTGTAATAGAGGAATGGCCGCCCATCCCCAACCAACCAACCAACCGCCCAGCAAACAGTCTACACAACGGACCCCCGGAAAAAAGGCCAACCCAGAGGAAAGTGTGTGAAATTTGAGATGACATAGAGAAAGAGAGTTTTTGGAGATTTAGCGTAAAAGGTAAAGTTGCGATGTTGCGGATATTGCAGATTTTTAAAAGTTTCGTAATCGGTAATACCAGCAACCCATGCCAATTGGAAATTTGTATGGATTTTCTGGCAGGCGATCGTACCCTCGAAAATCCCATTTCCGAGAATAACTTTTCAAAAAAACGTTTTCGATGATAATTTTTTCGAAAACTAGAATTTTGAGAAATGAGCAAGAAAATCTAATTGGGCGTGATGCACGTTTTATTGCAGATGCACAAAGGTATCGCGATAACGATATTGAAATCAAATCATTGGAGCAGACATAACAAAATAATTCATACCTGGAATAGAGATCGGCCGGCGAGTTGTACTGCAAATGGGCAACGTTGGGCATGGCGGGTCGTTCGCGGGGGCCTTGGGGGCTGACCGTCTGGATGCGAGCCGGCTGCCGGTCCTCGCTCGTGAAGTTTAATACCTGGAAATACAGAAAAATCGCTTAAATTTGCCTTTTTAAAAAAATTATCAGACGCTCCAGAATAGAAATTAACAGTTATGAAAAATATTAGCTATTTTTATAACGCGTAAACTTGCCCAATGCCCGAAAAAATAAGGAAAAACGTCAGAAATAAAAAAAAATCTATCAATTAAAAATCCCAGCTATCGATTGGCAAAAAGTAAGGTATAAATCTAATAATGCATAAGGTTTATCATTTTTAAGCTTTTGCCGAAATTTTTAGCATAAAAAACCATCAAACCTAGCCAATCGAGTTTCGGAAACAAGACTTTTCCCCAAGTTAATAGAAAGGACCAAAGCACCCAAAATGTCAATCTCCGGTAATCCGAGCGTAAAGCCAACAACCAGAGGGTAATTTGAGAGCGGATGATGTTCCCCGCTTCCGGGGCCAAGTGCGACGAATTAACACAAACACACCGTCCGCCCGAAAAGCCGGGATCCCAAAGCCCTAGGGCGTGAAAAAGCTGGGTCTCGAGGAGAGAGAGAGAGAGGGGGGGAGCTGCTGTGAGCACCGCCTACGGCCCTGACTGGCTTGTCTGAGGAGGAGAGGAGGAGCATGAGCTGACGTGCTGTGTTGAGTGATGGGGAAGTAGGCAAAATAATGAAGGAGTTTTAACAACACGATGATAAAACCGAGAGAGCAGGATATCGAGATAATGAAAATAGAGAGAGAGAGAGAGAGAGCGAGCGAGAGAGAGAGAGAGAGAGAGAGAGAGAGAGAGAGACGTACCTACCCTCGGAATTGGTATGCGATGATGTCGCATCGGCTCCCCAGGAGTTGGTCGGGAATAGGAAAAAGGAGATTTTTCACGAGAGGAGCGATCGAATCTGAAAAATATGAAAATTTTTCGTTTTGAAGGACCAGCCGTTACTCGACTGTTAGCGGGGGGATCTTTAGCAGGGAAACTATTTATACCGTGCGTTTTTTTAGTTACTTGAGAAACCTACCTCCCAGCCAGCGCCGCCGGCACCGCCACCCCGTCGACCTGGACCTCCCTTGCCATCTGAAAAATGTCATTGCTTTGTGGCCGTAACAGTTAAGAAAAAAGTTGTGAGAAATCATGAATCATAACATCTTGATTAACACCCGAAACCCGGTGAAAATGCGCATTTTTGGCGGCCAACAACTGTTCGGAGCAGCTTGGGTTGGAGCGACAGGTTCCTGGCCCCAGCTGGCACATGTGGACCTTTTGGGACTGGCTGGATGTGAAGGCTAAAATAAAGTTAACGAATTGAAACTAGCGCCGATATTCGTAAAACAGTATATGTGACAGTTTTTGGATTCGAAAACACCGCAAAAATTAAAATTTGGGTTGAAAATTAGTTTAACAGAAATTCTGCATTTCCGGTTGCCAGGAGAGCTGAAAAAAAATCACGATTCGCCTCATTTCCAACTTTCTACTCGCCGCCACCAGCGTTTCATGAGTGGCGTAGTCAGGTATGCAATCATTGAAATTATGCAAATTCACATTATGTGCAGCGGCTGCAGCGTCGAATACACCGGAGATGGAGGGCACGCATGTCTCGCGCAAGGGCTCAACTTTGCCGGCGTCAAGGGGTAAATCTCAACTATACGTTACGTTAAAGGAATGTGCAAGCCAAAAATCATCTACCACAGACAGTTTTTGAGACGTAGTTCATACTCGATTTTAGCCGCTACGAGATCCAGACGGTCATCCGGCACCTACAGTATGGCGACATTTTCAAGGTATGCAACTAGAAATACATCTGGGTAAGACTCTAGTTTACCCCCCCCCCCCCCCCCCCCCCAGACGCCCCTTTTCTCTGCGCCCTCTCCCCCAGGCCTACTATCTCTTCGCCTGCGCCCTCTCCCCCAGGCCTACTATCTCGCCTGGGGGGGGGGGGTAAACTAGAGTTTAGCCTACATCTGGTTTCATTAAGCGCGTTAATGGACTGATGCATATATTCTGAATTTTTCATAACCGTCTCTTTTAGGTGAAATCCCTCAGTTCCGGCGAGGTGTTCCTGATGAAGTCTGAGGTGGAGGCGGTACCGGAGGATATGGCTCGATTAAAGGTATCTAACCTTTAAAACCTAATTTTATTCTTTTTTTGAAAAACCTTAAAAAATGACTACTGAAAATCTAATGGATCTTCACACCCATCAGCGTCATTTTCAGAAAGAAGTCGGCCTGCTTACAGACGTCGAGAAGGACCGAGTCAAGACGCCCGGGAAATACCCCAATTTTCCAGTGTTTGTTTTTACAGTATCGTTCTTTTATTGTTTTTTAGGCCCCTCGACCGCGGCAGGGTCGAGAAACACTTCAAGTTCCTCGTGCTCAAGCTCGTCGGCCCGGATTTGCATGTAAATTTTTTGGACTAGCTTTTCAAGGAGTTTTTTAGTACTTGAGATCAAAGGTGCTGAAGCGGAACTTTTCCAAGTCGACGGCCCTCCGGCTCGCCCTGATGACGCTGAAGGCGATCGCCGACCTGCACGAGATGGGCTGGATTCATCGGTGAGGAGGGTTCGGGTCCAGCCGGGACCGGAAGGCGTCTGTCGCACAACACGCAGAGCACACTTCCACGACAGGCAGCGCCTCTGCTTACTCGACGCAAGGCGTGGCGTATCGCATCACGCAACGCACCTGCCCTTACGACACGCAACGTATTAGCCCCATTAGACGCCAGGCGTATGCCCCCGTGACACGCAGCGCGTAACGCAATGGCTTCCGCAACACGCACCGAGTCTATCCCTCCCGCGACACGCAACGCGTCTGCCCCGCCTCTGATTCCGCGACACGCAACGCAACATCTCCTGCGGCACTTGCCGCAATGCGTAGCGTGTTCACTTCCGCAACACGCAAAGTGGTTATTCCCGTACGAGCTACGAATCCCATAAGGAATCCTTACCTAACGAAAGCCATCGCCATGCCTTGTCAGACCCCCTAAAAAAATTGTTCCTGTTCCTGGGCCAGCTGGCAGCGATTATCGTGGAACTATCAACCTCTTTCCATGTCAGTGACATCCGCCCCGCCCAGTTCTGGGTGGGCTACGGCCCGGACTGCATGAACCTGTACCTCGTCGACTTTCTCAAGATTCGCCAGTACCAGCGCAGCAACAAGGTCCATCTGTAGGTCTTTTTGAGCGCTGAAAGCAGCTTCCAAAATTTTCAAAAACCTCTAAAATTTTCTTTAGGAAAAAACGCCCAGGAATCATGAGTGACGTCAAGTACAGCCACCACCGCTACCTGTCCAGACAGGCCGCCCAGAACTTTGATCAGAGCCGTCGTGATGACTATGAGATGTGGTGGGTTTTCTTGCTCTCTCTCTTTCTCGCTCTGTCTATCTCTCTCTCTCTATCTTGCTCTCTCACTCACTCGCTCCTTACTCGTTTTTAGGCTCTTCATGGTGATCGACTTCTTCGACGACCAGGCCCTCCCGTGGTGCAAGATGCGCGGCCTCGAGTCGGTCATGTCGAAGCTCGAGTTCTTCACCACACCCAAGGGTACGCAAAATTGGTTTACTATTTCCGCATCCTGATCCAGCCCGCGAGAACACGATCCGCGCCGTCCATCCCGACTTTGAGCTGATCGCCGACATGGTCAACAAGATGAAGTGGGCCTCGGAGATGCGCGTGCCGTTCCTCGAGGATACGCTGAAGAGCATTGCAGGGGTTGGTGCTGATCGGGATTGGAATTTTTGACCACTTTCAAATCCTAAATGAATGATTCCAGAAGCTAAAGCTGAATCTAAAGGAACCGTTCGACTGGACCCCCGAGATGGCCACCCAGCACGCCAGCGCCACGGCCAGCATTGACGCCTACCAGGCTGGAGCTGATATGGTGAGTGGTGAGAAATGGTCTCTGCTAGCTTGCCCCTTTCTTGCCACTGCGAGTGTGTTTTATTAGCCAAAATCGATTTTTGTCCAAACTCTAATCTACCGTAACTGCCCCAGTACTTGTCTTTCAGCAACGCCGCAGCAACAGCGGCAGCGGCGGCAGCAAGAGCAAGAAGCCCCGAGCGGCTGAGGAGTCGTTGAGGTCGAAGAAGAAGGCGCCCAGCCGCCTCATCGGCTCCAAGGAGAAGAGCCGCACGAATCGGCTGCCGGCCAAGAGTCCTGGTATGCATTGGCTTGGTTTCGAGGAGTTGTGAAGCATTGAATCACGCAACGCAAAATGACACGCAGCGCTTCCGCAACGCGTGCGCGATGCCTGGGCGTAGACGCGACTGGTTCGGGTCTCTAAAGGGAGCTGTCATGATAGCTGAGTTGACCTCTAAGAGAGCTGGATTTTTCGTGCCTTGCGAGCGCCTTTAAAGTCTAAATTTTTCCAGCCCAACCCATCGAGGTCAAGGTCAGCCCGCAGAAGCCGGAGCAGGTCGTCGGCGGCAAGGACGACGATGAGGAGGAGGAGGTCGGTAGCAATTTTGTTTGATGCTTTTTTCTTTTTATTTTTTGGTTTTTTTTTCGGCGCTGGAGCTTCGGGTTACAAGTTTATTTCGTTTAGTTAAAGCGTCCTTTAAACCGGCCTGTTTCCAGTTTATGACCCCTGGCGGCGGCGAGAAAGACTACGTGCGCGCTGAGTGCGTGGTGGCCGGGTTGAAGAAGCAGAAGCCGAAGCGGGCCGCGGTAAGAATTTTTAGGCGTTTTAAAGGGACTTGGAAGTCGAAAAAGGCGAAAGACGCAAATTACGCATTCTTCTATAACGTCCATTTTTGCCATTTTCGCCGGGGGCGCAAAAATTGTTGAGAATAAGTTTTCTGCCTTCGAAGCGCCTTTAATTGAGTATTTCGAGTATTTCGCGTTTCTAGACTTTGTAGATGCTTTAAAAGTGCTAGCAAGGCAAATAGTCCCAAACGAGCGTTTTTCTTGGAGAGCATTTTGAAAATAAAGTTTATCACGTCTTTGAGATGCTCTTTTTCAGGACGAAGAGAACGAGGCGTACGACAACTTCAAGTTCTAGCCCCCGCTGCAACGCACTTCGACCGCTACCTCATCCTCCTCCGCATCGCCCCGTCAAGCCAAGCCAAGCCAAGCCAACCCCTTAAGCCCTCCCCCTTCTCCCCCAAAATATTTGTACATGAAGAGAAAAAACCGTGGTTAAATCAGAAAAGGAATTCTTTTTCGTCGTCTATGACTGCCTTTGCGTGTGTACGTGTACCTGTGACTCTGCCACAACCAGTGAATAAAGCTGCTTTTGGGTTTATTTTTTGTAGCCACGTAAATTGTTGTTGTTCTGAGTTTGTATTTGTACTCAGCTGTGGCTTCAGAGAAGCATCAGAAAGCGGAAATGAGCCTGAGTACTCGGTAATTCGCTAAAAAATTCATATTTGAGCTTGTGCCAGGAGCCACTGGCGTAACATCTGGCGTAACGTATCAAAGTTCTTACCAAAAAAGCTTACAACTTCATTTTAAATTTAGACAAAAAAAAACAAAAATTTGAGGGGTTCCCCTGGATAAAATGCGCTGATTCTTTGTCACTTGAGGGAATCAATCCTCCTCTTTCCGATGACGTTTTCAGAATTTCGATAGAATACAAGTTTACAAAGTTAAAGCCGGTTTTATTCATTTTTGGGGGTAATTTGCATAATATGAAAAAATACATATTTCCTCATTCTTCCCAGTTGCACGCGCGTGTGTGGTCGGTGGGGGGGAAGGGGTCCGAAGGACCCGAGCTAACGGAAGTCAAATTTTTCATGCAAAGGCCCAATTCCAGCGCCCAAAGCCCGCGAAGCGGGTTTTGGGCGCTGGTTTACTAACTAATTTTGCGAAAAATTGAAGTGTTTGTCCAAATCGAGTATCACTGTGTATTGGATTTTTGAAAACTCTGTAAAACCCGTTTCGACCTGCGCTTTTAGTTACCGTGCGCTTCCAGTAAACTGAAGCAGCACTTTGTTCAGTTTATAGACAATACCCCGACGATCATCATAGATCAGCCATGGCTGAATTAGCGTCCCCCAGAAAAATAGTAATTGATGCTGCTAAAACCCTAATGCAGAATTTCGGGCCCAGGGGATTTGAATAGTTGAATAAATACGGTATCAGCTGAATTTTGAGTCATTTCTTCCTTGGTTTGAATTCGGGAAATAAGTTCAGGTTGACGAATTGTTGACTACCGGCCTTCTCGGTTTTTTTTAGTAGGAATTTATGCGCAAATTTGGTTTATGAATAGGCCAATTTGCGATTTTTCTGAGTAATACATAAAACATTTTTTGAGTATGTAAGGAAGTTTCGCGAGCGTGTGCATTAGATATATCTTCGTAGTGTGGGATTCATGCATTTTAATGCCTCCAAAAACTCCGCATAATAAAATCTTGCCGGTATTCAGCCCCTACATCCGGGTGGTTACCAAAAAAAACCCCGGATGCTTAGAGGCACCTGAATGTGGTTGATTGAATGCAATCAGGAACGTCGCGCAATGATCTCATTATTGCAAAAACCTCTGGCTTGTAGCGTGGACCCAAACAGAATTACGTCGATGCACTTGCCAGTCGCAGCAACATGAACTTTTCTGTTTAAATACGCTAGAATATCGTGAAGATCTTTTGCTTTTCCGATTGTTATGATACTGTAATTTTGTAATGTATTTCTTAAATTATGACCATAATAGTCCAAAAATGAATGATGTTTAGCCTATGATCCCCACCGGCTTATGGCCATACCTATGGACCGGAAAATTAAACCAGACGTGGTATAACTGCTCGGTGAAGACGCAGGAGGAATGGTTTGCTACTGGCATCAGAAGGGAGCTGCAAGGAGCTTATTTGTTTGTCAGCGGAATGTTCTTTTTGGTAAGTTATCATACAAAGAAGAGGTTTCATTTTCAAACGAGTTAAAAAATTTTTAATAGAGTTTTTTTTGTTGTAGGTTTGCTACACTGCGGGCCTGGTAGGGATGGTTCAAGCCAAGCTGATCTACAAATCCCCGTGCTACGTCATTATGCTGTTTATGGGAATTGGTGGGTTTTTGACGCACTTTATTGTTTCCCGTACACCTATGTTACCGCTAGGTTCTAATTTTGGTACTGGTTCATTAGCGGGGGAGAGCGCTTATCTGAGGGAGGCTCTGAATAGGCAACTCCCCCTGCTAACGAACAAGGGCCTTGATTTTACTAGTGTCCACAGGAATGATAGTATACAATCTAGCAAGAAAACATTAATTTGTGAGAGCGTAAAAAATCTATTTTTCAGGCGATACCTCCATGCTAATCGAAAGCTCTTTCTTCACTGGTTACCTGATGCTAAAAGGCGCTGTGTTCTGCAACTATCCAATTATTACCTATGTCGTGGGAGCTGTGGGATTAGGTACGATACTTCAAAATAAGTCTTATAATTCACATTCACAAACATTTTACTAAGTGAAAATTTCTGTAACTAAAAATCCACATATTTTCAGGCTTTTGGTCGGCTTCTTGCGTCTACTGCATGACGTTGGCTATCAGTCGGCTAGCTGAAATTGCCGGTTGGCATTGCATCACTGGTTTTCTGACACGACGGAACTGTCTTTTCATCTGGTTGGTTTTTCCTACTTTTCTGTCTCATCAACTTCAAAATATGCAATTCCGAGCCAAATACAAAAAGCTATAGGCGAAGCTGAAAAGCTAGCCCGAAAAAGAATAAAATTGGTATACCAATAATAGATCAGTAAATAGATCAGTGGAACCACATATCCAAAACTCAGACTACAAATTAGTGGCTGTTATACCACATTCCTTAAACTTCCGGGGAATTCATGTTCCAATTCAACTTTCCAGCCTGCTGGCACTCTCCTACAGCGCCTGGGTGACGCTGTTCACCACCACGCCAATGTTCAACTCGACGTTGGGCGCCTGGTTCTTTGATCCGTTCCTTGGAAATCAATAAGTAATAATATATAAGCAATAATATAACAATCAATAATCAGGGGCTTTAGGGATTTGAGACCAAATCAAGATTACAGAAGGCAAAGCTCAATTTTATGAAGGCAAAATTGTACTAAAACGCTAAAAAAATTCATGGACAATTAAATCTAAGAATTACGGGAAACTAAACCTCAAAACATGTTAAAAGGCGGATTTCCATAGAACTTCGCCGCGCCCGCGAACCGTAACGCGCATACCTCTGTTTTGAACGCGTGTTCGATCATGCGGCCTTGCCGTCGCGCGGACTGGCGCGCGTCTCGTGTCGCAGGTGTGGTTTGTTGTGAAACCGCATAATCCACAGAACATCGGTGCGCAATCCAAAAAAAATTATAGCAAGAAAATCCAAAGTCGAGTCTTTTTAGCACCTTTAAAAACCTGAAATCGTGGAAAAAACGTCGTGAAATTAACCCATTTTAGAGAAAATACGAAAACGTCCCTCATCAAGTCCAGAATATCGTGGTATCGATTTTCGCCATCGTCGTCTACGTCTTCATGTGCTGGAAAGCCTCCCGAAAATGGGGATGGTCAACGGGGCTGTCGAAGACGCAGCGATTGGTACATCAACTCGATCAAGGCTTTTTACGTGCTTCTAGCTCTACATCCAAGCATTTGTCATCTGCTCCACCCACGTAATCGCCTCCTGGGGTTACATGTTGCTGAACATCATCCCGACATTCCCCCTCGTCCTCATCATGGTCGGCCATCACGCGTGGCAGTGGAGTCATGGTGAGTGAAAGCTATAATATATGCTAGGCTGGAGATTCCTCAAGCGACCTTTGCTAGGTTACTACGTCCCCAAGTTCTTTCAAAGGGGCTCGGAAGTCAGAATTCGCGTGCGAGATTGAACCTACTGGTCAAAAAATGTTAGTGTCACTCTCGAGAAGTACCAGAAAATGTAAAATATTTGAGTAAAACTCAAATGTTTCTGGGTGGAAAACGCCTTTTTGAGTGCCTGACAATTACATGTCGTAATGCCTTGGAAGGCACCCTATCTCTGAATCTCGGTGATTCTCGGATTAATTTACATAATTAAAACGTCTAGAATGATCAAATTTCCGCGCGGATTCCAGAAACACGCCAGATTTTTTAAATTCCAGCGTTTTCCGTCCAAGCTCAGATCAGCTCAGATCATGCGCCGCGGTCGCGTTGCGGTCCCATTTGGCTATTTGCCAGGAATCAACGTAGGAGCACCATGGACCGGATTTCGGAGCCCCTTTAGGCCCAAAACGTTTCGGAAAGTGCTGAAATCGTACGAAGGATACGCATCGCTCCTCGGTACACTTATAGGAGCACTACGTAGCCTTTTGGTAGACTAGGGGCACGACCTTTTCCAGGCGTCCCTGGCGTCGTCTATCTTGCCCTAAACCGCTCCATAAAGCAACAAGTGGCCGGCTGGTTTGGCTTGCACTTGGTGGGTGATTTTACTGATTGAAAGTTTTTTTGTTTTTGCGAAAATAATTTTGCGGTTATTAGGGAAATCGAACCTACTCTCTCAAAACCACCGACCACGACCGCACCGAAACCAGTCAACAAAAGCAGTGAAATCAAATTTTGAAATCTACCATAAAACTGTTTACTCATACACAATTCGTATCTACACCACAATTCGTGATTTGCATAGCCCAAAACAAACATTTGCATCCAATTTCCGGGCAAAATGGGCATCGACACAATTGCCGTCTCGGGGCAGCTCGTCATCGCTCTCGCCACAGATGGCGCAATCTGCCGAGAAAAAAAACCTCGAAGTAAGGCCTTTTTTTGTCACCGACCCAATTTGCAAATGTGCCAATGAACTGAAACAGAATCCTTACCCAATGTCGTGATATTTCTTTTTATTAGGCCTGATCCACCCAAGCCCAAGAAACCCAAGAAATCGAAGGAACCCAGCAGCGGTCAACTTGCCGAGGAGTTTATCATAAGCACGCTCGATAAAGGCATCGAGGTCGGTCAGCGATTTTTGTTCCGAAGCTATAGACACATTTTAGGGCTTGAGAAAAGAATTCAACCGGAACCCCCGCATCTACGATACGGCCAAGTGCACGGTGAGCTGCCGCAATCCGACGCTGAACAGATACAAGGTGAGGGAAAGAGTGAGCGAGAGAGTGTGATAGAGAGAAAGAGAGCAAGAGCGCCAGACAGCGAGAGAGAGAGAGCGCTCCAGATAACGAGAGATAACGGCTAAAGTCTAGTTTACCCCCACCCCCAGGCCGGAACTTTTCACCCATACGTCTTATTAATGTGCCGGGTATCTTCACCAGCCCTTTCTCGCGCCCATATCGCTTTTTGGAAGTTACTTTAATGCTTTTAATACTTTTTATTGATTTTAATTCATTATTTAAATCATTTAAAGTCAGCAGGAAGATATTTAGGCAGTTTTTGAAGGGATTTCGACCAGGGGAGGTATCTAAAGTCATCAGGAAGGTATCGAAGTAGTTTTTAGGGGGATTTCGGCGACGGGGGTATATGGGATAAAGTTGGAGATGTAATGTGGTGGTGTAGAACATGGAGGGTAGCCCGAAGTCCAGCCGACTACAGCTCTCGTCGCGCGTCGAAGCGACGTAATCGGCTGGTGTTATAGTAATTCGATCACGGCGAACATTTTGAGACCAGATGGTTACAGTCGCTTCGCGACTGCAACCATCTGGCCTTCGGGCTCCCCTACATGTCCCACTCCACCACATCCTTTCCCACCTCCATCAATACCCCCCATGGCTGAAATCCCCTTCAAAAACTACATCGATAACTTCCTGATGGCTTCAGATACCCCCCTGGCTGACATCCCCTTCAAACACTACCTAAATACCTTCCTGATGGCTTCAGATACCCCCCATGGCTGAAATCCCCTTCAAAAACTACATCGATAACTTCCTGATGGCTTCAGATACCCCCATGGCTGAAATCCCTTCAAACACTACCTAAATACCTTCCTGATGGCTTCAGATATCCCCATGGCCGAAAATCCCTTCAAAAACTACATCGATAACTTCCTGATGGCTTCAGATACCCCCCATGGCTGAAATCCCCTTCAAACACTACCTAAATACCTTCCTGATGGCTTCAGATATCCCCATGGCCGAAATCCCCTTCAAAAACTACATCGATAACTTCCTGATGGCTTCAGATACCCCCCATGGCTGAAATCCCCTTCAAAAACTACATCGATAACTTCCTGATGGCTTCAGATACCCCCCATGGCTGAAATCCCCTTCAAAAACTACATCGATAACTTCCTGATGGCTTCAGATACCCCCCATGGCTGAAATCCCCTTCAAAAACTACATCGATAACTTCCTGATGGCTTCAGATACCCCCCATGGCTGACATCCCCTTCAAACACTACCTAAATACCTTCCTGATGGCTTCAGATATCCCCATGGCTGAAATCCCCTTCAAAAACTACCTAAATACCTTCCCGATGGCTTTAGATGATTTAAATAATTAATTAACATAATTAAAAAGTATTAAAAAGTATTAAAAGTATTAAAAAGTATTAAAGTAACTTAAAAAAGCTATCTGGGCGCGGGAAGGGGCCTGGGGAAGAGGGGCGAAGGGAAAGGGGGCGTGGCCAGCCGGGAGAGGGGCCCCCACTCGTTTTATTAAGGCGCCACTTTCAAAGTTAATTTTAATAATTTAAACTAAAACTTTTTCTTAATTTTTTTATCAGTTTGGGGGTTTCTGACGGCGCTCTATCCGAATCCGAAGAGAGCTAAGCTCTAGCTCCTTTCCCCTTCGAGTTGAATTCGGCTTCACACGGACACACACACGGACGTCTCTACTTTTTTATTACCAGATGGTTACAGTCGCTTCGCGACTGCAACCATCTGGCCTTCGGGCTACCCTACATGTCCCACTCCACCACATCTTTTCCCACCTCCATCAATACCCGGGATGGCTGAAATCCCGTTCAAAAACTACCTGAATACCTTCCTGATGGCTTAAGATACCCCCCATGGCTGAAATCCCCTTCAAAAACTACCTAAATACCTTCCTGATGGCTTCAGATACCCCCCATGGCTGAAATCCCCTTCAAAAACTACCTAAATACCTTCCTGATGGCTTCAGATACCCCCCATGGCTGAAATCCCCTTCAAAAACTACTCTAAATAACTTCCTGATGGCTTCAGATACCCCCATGGCTGAAATCCCCTTCAAAAACTACCTAAATACCTTCCTGATGGCTTCAGATACCCCCCCATGGCTGAAATCCCCTTCAAAAACTACCTAAATACTTTCCTGGTGGCTTCAGATACCCCCCCCATGGCTGAAATCCCTTCAAAAACTACCTAAATACCTTCCTGATGGCTTCAGATACACCCCATGGCTGAAATCCCCTTCAAAAACTACCTAAATACCTTCCTGATGGCTTCAGATACCCCCATGGCTGAAATCCCCTTCAAAAACTACCTAAATACTTTCCTGGTGGCTTCAGATACCCCCCCCCCATGGCTGAAATCCCCTTCAAAAACTACCTAAATACCTTCCTGATGGCTTCAGATACACCCCCATGGCTGAAATCCCCTTCAAAAACTACCTAAATACCTTCCTGATGGCTTCAGATACACCCCATGGCTGAAATCCCCTTCAAAAACTACCTAAATACCTTCCTGATGGCTTCAGATACACCCCATGGCTGAAATCCCCTTCAAAAACTACCTAAATACCTTCCCGATGGTTTAAGATACCTCCCCTAGCCGAAATCCCCTTAAAAAACAAAAATAACGACCGACCGGATGGAATGAGAAAAAAAAAAATAAATGAAATCCCCCGTGAAAATTTTCATCCACGAAACGCGCGCGACCTGGCTCACTATGTCCAAAATCGCCCCAACCTCCGTCCCCCACCCCTTTTACTAAGGAAAAAACTTTCAAAGTTAATTTTAATAATTTAAACTAAAACTTTTTCATAATTTTTTTATCAGTTTGGGGGTTTCTGACCACGCTCTATCCGAATCCGAAGAGAGCTAAGCTCTAGCTCTTTTCCCCTTCGAGTTGAATTCGGCTTCGGACGGACGGACGGACGGACGGACGCGTCAAGAAAATTATTATAGTTGATAGTTGATACTCCACGCGTTAATAGGAAGTATCGCTGAAAAGTTCTGGCTGGGGGGGGTAAACTAGACTCTTACCGAGATAAGTGACCCGCCCTTTAGGATATCGGTTGCCACGATTGCAACCGCGTGCACGTTGTCGGCGCCAACCCCGACGAGTACATCCACGCGAACTACGTGGGCATCGAGGGTAAACCGAAGTGCTTTATCTGCACCCAAGGGCCGATGGAGGCGACGTGCGCCGACTTCTGGATGATGGTCATCCAGCAGCATGTCGGGGTATGGATGGTCTTAAAGGGATAGGGGCGGCATAATGCAATCGATTACGCGCGGGAAAGAAAATGTCTCTGCGCCTCCCCCCTGGGCGCGTTTTCTGCCCTGTTGGCTACTTGCCAATTTGTTGATGGGGGGAGGGGGGGATCGACAGATGCCGTCGGCAGCCCTTTAAGTGGCAGGGCCGCTGTATGGAAGGCGGAAGCTATTTCGCCTTCGAGATGTTTTTGAGTGTCGCCGGGACTTTGTGATGGGACCAAACCTAGCTTGTGCAGAATTCGGCGCTGACTCCGAATATGGCTGCCGTTTTTGCCAAGTTCCGCCACGTAAACGCTTACCAAAACACTTTAAATTTAATTCCTAGGCCAACCGGGAAAGGAAAAAAAGTTGCCTTCCTCTTGGGGATTACTTCTCCCCCCGTGAATCCTAAAGAACCAAAATTACAAAATTACCAAGGTGCAAAACCGGTGTGTAATCATTCCGCGCAGTCGATCCTGATGTTGGGCGAGTTCGTGGAGCAGAACAGGCCAAGGTGCGCCAAATACTATCCAGACAAGCTGGGGCAACAACTGACCTTCCAAACAAGTGATCGGGGCCCGATCGTCGTCACGAATTCAACAGAGGAGGAGGACATGGGCGGTCGCCTTTCAACAGGTGAAACCCTTAACTTTAGGTCCTCTTCATCCGGCCGGGCCATGCGGCACAGGTTCATATTCGCCATATGACGGTGCAGTGCCTCGGCACCGAGACCGAGGTCTCGCACTACCATGTTGGTGGAGGAAGGGGTGCGGGGGTACTCCTAACTAGGGAAGTGCACGATCCGACCGTGCGATTTCAACACTAGACATAGTGAATCTGTTAGAGTCGGACACGGGGACTCTGAATCTGTAATCAGAATCTGCTAAATAAAAGATTCCTAGTCACCTGATCGAAAAATCGCCTGTTCGAAAATCTCCTGGTCGAAAATTCGCCTGATCGAAAAACACCTGATCGAGAATCGTCTAATCGAAAATTTTCTAATCGATAATAACTCAAAAAGTAGTTCGAAGATGTTAGAAGCCTAGAAAAACCCTAATTTTTTGAGTTATTTTCGATCAGACGATTTTCGA